TGATTAAGTGCTCATCTAGTATGCTCACCTCAGCACTACATAAAAATAAAATAAAGCGATTGTGTCCATCTACAACTGAAAAATATTTGAAAGAAAGAAAGAAAGAAAGAAAGAAAGAAAGAAAGAAAGAAAGAAAGAAAGAAAGAAAGAAAGAAAGAAAACAGTTGGCACTGACTCCCAGCCACTGTGTTGGTCTGATCCATATCGCCAACTGCATCATACATCCCAGCTAATCCTTAACCCCCTTATCTCTTCTGATTACCACATTACCTAGCTTTTGTCATTTCATTCATTTTTTTTCTAAAGAATTAGTGCAGTGAGTGGCAGGCTACACTCAAAAGTACWAACTGGGGAATTACAAATATTTAATCCAGTGCTCAAGGAACTGCTTTTTATTATTCTCAAAGTGCAATTTATAACTATAACTATGAAGTTACACTAAGTTTTAACAAGAAATGTGAGTCTTAGATTTTTATTTTCCACAGTAAGCTATTTAGTTTTCCCATAATGGGACTAACCAGAAAAGGAAATGTCTGCCTTTGGGAACTTAGAAAACACTTAGGTTTGCACCCAAAGTTATTACTAACAAAACAGTGGCCTTCTGTGGAAGACCACTAGTTGGAATAGGCTACTTCTCTACCCTTTATCCAAAAAATTGWCGAAAAGGTATTCATTCATCTTAAGCAAAATGTTAATTATGGACAGCCTTAAAAATTGTAATTTTTCATTTCAATTTGCATTGGGTCTAATAATCAATCATTAGTCGAAAGGGAAAGACTAATTTTATCTGCTAATTCCTCTTACTTCCTTGACAGTTACTTTTCCTATCCAAAATTCAAAATTCTACAATGTTAAACATTACTAAAAGACAAAAAAATGTGATTTCATATATGCACACATATATGTGTATGTATGTGAATACAAATATGTATATTGTGTGTGTGTGTGTGTGTGTGTATCACACACACACACACACACACACACACACACTTTGGGGTACTGGGTATCGAACCCTGGAACCCTTTACCACTGAGCTATATCCCCAGGCCTTTAATTTTTTTTTTTTTTTTTTTTTTTTTTTTTTTAGAAAGGGTCTCACTATTGCTTAGGGCCTGGCTAAGTTGCTGAGAATGACCTTGAACTTGTGATCCTCCTGCCTCAATCTCCCTAGTGGTTGGGATTACAGGTGTGCACCACTGCACCCAGAAAAAAAAAAAAAAATTATGATTATATGATACAAAAACTTCTCATTTCCTGGAAAATTCAAGCTACTGTAAGGACATGATTTATATTTCCCAGAAGTAACTTAATATAGAATGTTTCTTTTTCTTCTTTTTTTCCCCTAGAAGACTCTCTATAATTCAGAATGTCACTAAAAATGAGGAAATAAAGTGTTAGGCCCTAGGCTAATGAAAAAGACTAAGGAGGCAAGCCACGGGRCTTCTTCTGCATCAGCCAGGGGCCAAACAGGAATGCAAGCAACTCTAAGGCACAGGAGGACTTTGAGAATGTAAGCAGCAAGCACACTTGGGAGACCAGAGGGCACAGGGAGACACATTCCAGCCTCAGGGACGGGGAGGCTTCAGTGAGACATTTTCCTAAGACATGTCAGGGAAAGGATGTGATGGGAACAAGTTCATTCAAATTATCTATGGTCATTTGCTTAAAATACAGATGACTGGGTCTCATCTGATTCTGGAACCAGATCCTCATGGAGTCTGGGAATCTACTTTTTTGTTTTAATGAGCATGCCAGTAAACCCAAAGCAAGGGATCCACAGACCACATTTAGTCACATTAAAATTTGATTACTACTGCTCTCAGTGAAAGGGTAAGAGCTGATGAACAGATAGGGTTCTCACAAAGGGACTACATGAGGAGTTTTATGGAAACAAGAGAATCAGAGCATGTGGTTATTAAGAGGTTGTACAGGGCACCAGGCACAGTGGCACACACCTGTAATCCCAGCAACTCCATAGGCTGAGGCAGGAGGATCACTAGTTCAAAACAAAATATAAAAAGGTAAGCGGTTAGGCATCCATGGGTTCAACTCCCCATACCTAAATAAATAAAAGAGGTTCCAGAGTGTGTTCGGCAGCCTAATGAAATCCAGTGYTGGAATCATAGGTAAGCTACTTGAGTCTTGACTCCCACAATGAGGCTGAGCTSTGTTCTAAAGGCAAGCAAGAATGGTCAAAGCTTTCTGAGCAATGCCATGCTGTGTTTAAACAAGATTACTTTGGAATTCACACAAGAGGAACAAGGACAATAATGAAAAGGAAGAAAGAAGGAAATGGCTGGGTCTGGTGGCGCACCCCTGCAATCTCAGTGGCTAGGGAGGCTGAGGCAGGAGGATGGCTAGTTCAAAGCCAGCCTCAGCRACTTCGAGAGGTCCTAAGCAACTCGACAGGACTCTAAATAAAATATAAAAARGGCTGGAGATGTGGCTTAGTGGTTAAGTGCCCCTGGGTTCAATCCCCAGTACCAAAAAAGAAGGAAATGGATGCAAGAGACTTTATGAACAAAGAAAGAACAGGATTGGGGATTTGCTGTATGGAGACAATTAGAGGGAACTAACAATAACTTTGAGGAAAATTTTAAATAAACCAAGTATCTTTTCAGTGCCCAACACTACCAAGAATCCAAAAGTTTAAGAGTCATTAAGGCAACATAATAATCAAGCACCTACTATTAACAATGCCAAGGATACACCCAGGTAAAAAATACTGTCTCCAGTTTAAAATTAAATCTCACCTTGTTCCTCTTTTTTTTTGTGCCTTTACTTTTTATTAAGAAAAAAAGGATTTTTATTGCCTGCCTTTTAAACTTCTTAGCTCCTGAAGCATTAGCTGGCTCAAGTCAAGGGCATGCCAGTCTTCATCTTAAGTAGTTTTACCTATTAGTTTCAATGAAAAAGAAATATTTAGGCATCTTTATCAACAACAACATGAGTCCTAATGTGTGACTAAGATGTGAAAGCCCAACTTCAATTAGATGGACTTAGGGCAAATAAGGAACTTTCCCACAGAGAACTTTCAGGTACAGAGTTGTTTGTTTATTCATTCAATATGTACTGAATGGTTATTACAGATGGCTGTTTCTTTCCTGACCTTGAAAGATGAATGAGTAAGAGCCTGAGAAAACTTAAGAGCAGAAAATGTGGTCTGTCAAGAAATGAACTAAGAACAACAAGTAGCACTTAAAAACTAGAGGGATGGAGAAGGGAAATGAGAAAAGGTAAGCTAAGGAACAGGCCTAGTGAAAATAAAATAACACTGGCCAGAGCAAAAACCAACCAGAAATATGGGAACTGGATGGAAGCCACCTGTCAAGTTAAATTCATAATTTTCAACATGCATACTGCCAGCTTCTGAATTTTAACAATAACCTRAGACAGTCTCTGACTTTTAGAAATGAACAAACTGACAAGATACCTACACGAAAGCAGATAACTCTACTAGATAGTACAGAGTCAAACTGTAGTTATATGATACAAGCAAGAGCCATAATTCAAAGAATGTCAGTTTAAGGTATCTGTTCTATAAAAAGATACCAGGAACACTTTTCTAGAACTTTGACTAGTTAAGATTGCTTCTGAGTACAAGCTGTAACAGCAAAGCCTGTTGGCTGTACATCCTTGTATAGCCACACCCATAAGTGAAGATCACTTTAATGTTGGTGACATCATCAACTTCCTAAGCGGTTTTACTTTTAACTGTCACTTTATTTTAATCATATTATAGTAGAACACTTCAGATCTGAACTATCTCCAAAGTGCGTATGGTCTGGACTGCTATCAGTGTTGGATTCTTTCTGGTCTTCGGCAAATAAAACCCAGAATACAAGGCATTTAAAACTAAATTATAAAACATTTGATTTAAAAATCTCTCAATTATTATTTTTGTATCTTTAACCTGGATTCAGCCTTTCTTTTCTACACTTCTTCAATGCTGTATAATAGCTACTAATTACTCTTGTCTAAGACCAAGGAGGAGAATTAAATGTAAAATAATTTGTTTCCCATGTGAAGCCTAGGTACAAAAAATATTGCTTTTTAATAAGAAACATTTTTTTCCCATCATTATGTACAACTATAATGCACAAGTAAAGAATGTGGAAAAAAGGGCTGGTTGGGATTATAGCTCAGTGGTAGAGCACTTGCTTAGTAGTGTATGAGGCACTGGGTTTGATCTTCAGCACCACATAAAAATAAATAAATAAAATAATATAAAAATGTTGTGTCCATCTACACTAAAAACATTTTTTAATTGTGGAAGAAATAAAAGAACTTTAACATGAACCTCGGGTCCTTAAGAAAACACAAAAATGCAAAGAGAAAAGTACAATTATTGTTAACATTAATAAACATTTTAATCTCTGCATATCGAGGTATGTATCATGAGTATGCCTAAAGAGTAAAGAGCACACTTGTACTAAGTTCCAGTTACTGAACTCTTATTCCAAGAATAAAAGGCCAATTTTTCAGAAAGATGAACACTGTTGCTAGGGTTGGGAGAAAATTAGTTTCAAAACGAGAACAAAATTAGAAGAAAGTGCCTATGAAAATCATGACGACCTCACTTTCAAAAAGGAAAAAAGAAGCAGGGCAAGGTGGCACATTTCTGTAATCCAGTAACCTGGGAGACTGAGGCAGAAGGATCCCAAGTTCAAATCCAGCCTCTGCAACTTAGTGAGGCCCTAAGCAACTTAACAAGACCCTGCCTCAAAATTAAAAAATAAAAGGGATGGAACTGTGGCACAGTGGTTAAATGTCCCCAGGTCCAATTCCTGGTACCCTCCCAACAAAAAAGGAGAATGACCACTATGATAGCTTCATTAATTTGCCTTCTTTTTACCTTGCTCATACAGCAATACAAACAACTGAGGCTATAATTTTGGACAGATACATTATATTGTGGAAGTCAGTGAAAAATGCATGCTAAATCAAATATTATTTAGTCATTAAAATAAAACCACATTAAAAAAAATCAAATATCTTACCAGTTGGAATTCTCGTCGCCGGTCATAGGCATTTTGTATACCACTGTCTGCCCATAAGGCTCTTATAGCAGGAAGATATTGTAAAAAGACCCGTGTTTCCACCATTCCCTGGGCAGCCAAGGGGGCCCGGGTGTCAAACGCCATCAACTTGTCTCCATGTAGCTGGTTTTCATTATCTCCCCAAGGAATATGAAGCTTCTCTCGAGCATCTACCAGCACCCTCATACCTTTGTTTAAAAAAAAAAAAAATTGTGGGGAAGAGTCATTAGATACTAATATAAGCTTTTATTCCAGTTTCTTAAAATTTCAACTACTCAGGGCCATCTACAAAAGTGAAGTGGAGACCAGCAACAAATCAAACACTTGTATCTTCTCAAGGAAAAATGTTCTCACACCTTCTTAAGTTTACAGTCTTGAAGAGCAAACACTATTAACACAATCACTCTTTTTGAAAAATTTTAATATGCTGCAATTTATAAAATAAATTTTATAAATTGGAGTGGAAGGTGGTCAAACCAAACTAGGAGAAGAAAAAGAGATTATGCTGTATAGCCTAATGTCTTGAAGACAAGGGCTGCAAACAAGATTTTTATGAGCCCATCTAAAAGACATTTATTTACAAAACACTAAGAATTATATAACGTCTTCAGTTTAGTTCCTTAGTACCCAATACTGAGTCTTGTAGGAACACATTCAGAACCCCAAAATTTCTCCCAAATCAAGCTTCAAATCAGTGTAAGTCACAGAAAGGTCTTAGATTTTCCTAAAAAAGGGAGGAAGATCAACTGAAAAATGATTTAAAAACAGGTATCAACTCACAAAGGTTAGTTCAAACTATATATTTCTAGCACTGAACTGTTAACTTTTGGTCCATCTTAACAATCTATCATGAAGTAATTTATTTGAAAAACTGAAAAACCATTTTGCTGTTAATTTTCTGATCACGCCAACTCAAAAAAACTGGATTCGTAATGGCTTCACCTCAGAATGATGCTCAAAATAGGTCACACTTAGGACTTAGTTTACATGAAGAAGCAGGTGTTTACCTAGCCCAAGTTAACATGTTGACTCTATTCATTAACGTAACTCCTCAAATTTACCTGCACTGGGATACAAAAGTACCTTCAATTAAGGACTGGCAAGGCAGAGTCTGCAACTCTGAAAGAGACCTTAATTAGTATGGGTTAAACATTCAGGCAGGCTAAATACAATTGTCTTTTACAGTTTAACTGCAGAGGTACCAAGGTTAAGAGCTGGTTGCTGTCTGTGAGCTCCTGGCCTAGTGTTCACCAGTTACTGCCTCACAAACCCTCCCTCTCCAGGCAAACCCAGGGAGGGGGGGAAAAGTGACATTAAGGAGTTGCTTATGTACTTCCTGAACAAGAAACCCCACTTAAAATATACTGCTTGAAAAGGCCTGCCATTTGCAGCAATCTCCTAGACAAAATGTTCCACAGATAACATAAGGAGAATTATGATGCACCTGACATCTCAGTTCTGTCAATGCCTTTTATGTAAAAAAAATCTGACACTAGAAAAATGAGAGCTGGTTCTTTTAAATGACAAAATAAAAACCATCTTTCTGATTTCTTTGTCCAGAAATAAAGACCTGTGTATTTTTCACTTGAGAGCAACGTTTAATTTTAAAAATACTGTCAAACAGGAGCAGAGCCTATTATCCAAACTAACAGTGATTCACTGATTCCACCTGTACAGGATCCCCATCACTTTTAGACCAAAGTTTTCATACTGTCACACAATTTCATTTAAATAGGAAAACCAGGACCCTCCCCTTTTCTCTTGCGCCCAGTTATTTAGCCAAAAAAAAAAAAAAAAAAAAAAGGAAAGAAAGAAAAAAGTGAAAGATGTTGCAGGGTGATTACAGGCACACATCCTGTAACACTGGGGCGAAAAAACCACTCGTGCTAGTTTTTCTAGGTAAATTGCATGGATCCACTCTTCCCTGATGCCAACAGTCAAGGTGACACCCTCAACTTTCGCAGCTTTGCCTAAGCTGGCCCTGGGGGCCGTCACTTTGACAAGAGGCAAAAGTTTCCCTTCAGAATTCCCTTGCTCACCAGCCGGGCCAAGGAAGCCCGGGAACTGGGAGCGCCCTCGACCTTGTGGCTGGGTCACCCACCAGGCGCCGCGAGGCTCGCGCAGGGGGCTGATCTCGGGTGGTCCTGCCTGGCCTGCAGCGAGGAGGGCAGGGGAGGTCACCCCGCACCCCGAAACGCCCGGCTCGCCTCACTTCCCTCTCGGAGGGGGCGAGGCCAGCGGCGGGGTGTGGGGCCGGCAGTGACCGCCACCCCGGCCCCGTCTCACCTGGGAGCGACGGCACCCCGGCGGCAGGAGCGGGGCCCGGCGCACCCCCTTCCCGCCCGCCCAGCAGCCGGCCCCGGGCCGGTGCCCCGCCGCGGACTGGGCTGGCGAGGGCGGTGCCCCGCCCCGCGCCCGCCGCCGCCCGGGTCCCCGGGTCCCCGCGCCCCCGGCCCCGGCCGGGCACCTTTGATCACRTTGCTGTAGATGGTGGGGCGGAACTCCTCGCGCGCGCGCTGGTCGAAGTCCTGCCCGTGGATGATCCTCATCTGCTTCAGGAAGGTGGACTTGCCGCTCTCGCCCGCGCCCAGCAGCAGGATCTTCACGAGCCGCTTCACGTAGGTCTTCTCCCGCGACAGGCATTTGTCGATCTCCTTGGACTTGCGCTGCTGCTCGGCCTCGCCGCTCGTGAGCACGCAGCCGGGGAAGCACACGGACAGCACGGACCGCGACGGCAGGAAGTCCGCCATCTTGCCGCCGCCGCCGCCTCGGCGGGCCCCTGCGGCTCCCTCCACCTCCTCCACGGGCGGCGGGCGGCTCCGGCACCCCGGCTCGAGGGCGGGGAGCGCTGCGGCGGCCCGAGCGCGCCCGGAGAGGGAGGGATCCAGCGAACTGACTCGCAGGGCGGGCCGGGCAGGGCGGGCCTGGCGAGCCGGGGAGGGAGGGAAGGAGGGCGGGCCCGGGAGGGGCGGTGGCCCCGAGGCGCGCGCGCGCACGTTGCCTCCCGGGGGCGCGCACGCACTCACGCCGCGGCCTCTCCCGTCCCCCACGCCTCCTCGGGCCGGCCGGTCACGCGCTCGCTTCTCCGCCGGCCGGGCTGCTGCTGTCGCCGAGCGCGCGCGAGGAGGGCCGGGGAGCTGCGGTCACGTGGGCGGGTCTGGCGCGCGCCTCCGGAGCCCAACTTTCTGTTTTCCTTTATCTGCTCCCACTTTTGCGCGGAAGCCCTCGTTCTCCGAGCCCCGGAGGCCGGACGCCTGATCAGCCTTTGGCTCCGTTTCTGCCCGACCGCTGCCACCACCCTTTCTCCTAGGTAGCGCACCCGCCGTCTGCTGTCACTCCYTCCTGCCTTACGTCGAGGCCAGTGGCTGCGAGATCCTTGCAGCAGCCGGCACGAGCCTTGGAAGGTGTTTAGTGCCTTTTCTTCAAGTGACTCCCTTGCCATTCTGCCTCCCGAAGACTGGAAGGATAACTAGATGTGTCGATCACCGTCTTCCCTCCTCTTTCTGGCATTTTCTGAGYCCTGCAAAAGGCCTTGGTTTGAGGAGAAAGAACTGGTATTGACGTTTGTCTGAGATGTGGGAGGAGAGGTTGTTAATGTCCCCTTTAATGTGGATTCCCACCCACGTTATGACCTCGGCAGTGCTTTGGCTCGCTGAAATTAGTGAATGAGGAGGAGGGTGAGGTCATGGTGAAAATCCCCCTGCACCGGACACTGCAATGCAGATTCTTCCCAACAAGGAAGCAGATAAGCAAACAGATTGAGAACTGCAGCAGGCAAATTTTAGGTTTCCTGCCAGACTACAGAGGATATGACCAGCAAGAGACTTTTTTCTGTCCTCACGACAGATTCAGGCCAGGACACCTGAGAAGGCTGCCGGGAGACAAGCGACAAGTGACAGCTGGGTTGGCAAAGTGACTGTAACAAGGACCCAGAAGCCGACTTTTTCATTCTTGGTATTGAGCTTCAAGTGGAAAAGCCAAAAGTGGTTTGGATTGTCTACTTTTGGCAGTGCAACACAATGCTCCTTGGTTTGGGCTTCAGAAACTTCCTGTGTTAGGGAGTTGGGGTAAAAGGTCAACACTCTTGAGAGGCTTATGAACAAGTTTAAAAATCAGTGCTAATCAGTCTGAGTTGGGTTAGTGACTGAGAAGCCTCATGACTCAATTCTTCAGTTGCAGTAAACAATGCCTGTAGTTGGATTATCTCTTGCTGGACTGGCCAGGCCCATGGGGTGGACATTCTACAATCTACAAAGTGAGGTAGACTTCCCTCTGGTATCTCTGGGTTACTAGGATCAGGATCACTGGRCAATGCTTTCAGTCTGAATGTATGGCAAAAGTCAACTCTGGTTGGAAGATCTCCCTGTGGTCTCAACTAATGTTAGGGAGGCCTGTTCCTAAACCATGAAAGTACTAGCCACTGCCAAGGACAAGGACATAGTGCCAGCTCCCAAGCCCTTTTTCTGTTTTTACTCCAGGTGCTAATCTGAACTCTTTAGCAAAAACAGGAGGGAAGCCTCTAAGTTAGACTAGTTAACATCTTCTTCCTAAAGTGTGTTCAACGTAATGGGAAACAAGGATGCCTAGGAGGCAGGAAGATATTCCTGCCCCACTAGTTCATGTTGTGACATGTAGACAGCAGAGAAGCTGCTCAAAGCCCTGTGCGGAACCTTGCTCGGCTCACGTCAAACCTGGCTGCTCTAATCAGTGTTTCTGAAAGACATCTTTTGGCACAACCCAGGGTTTGGCCATAGCCATCCTACTTCTTCTAACTGGTGATCAACACATCTTGTGAATTATAACCATAAAAGTGGAAGAGAGTTTGGTGGTGCCTTAAAAAGTTAAACATAAGGGCTGGAAATGTGACTCAGCAGTTAAGTGCCCCGTGTTTAATCCCTAGTACCTAAAAATAAAAAGAAGTTCAACATAGATGTGACCTAGCAATTTCACTCCTGAGATATAATATACACCCCTAAAGAACTGAGGTGTTCAAACAAAACTTGCACATCCTTGTTCATGGCAGCACTACTCAGAATAGTCAAGGGTGAAAATGACCAGTGGATGAATGATAAACTGATATATCCATGCAATGGAATTATTCAGTTATTAAAAAGTAATGACATACTGATACATGCTACTACATGAACTTTTTTCCACATTTTTAAAAAATTGTTGCATTATAGTTGTACATAATGATGGGATTTGTTGCCATATATTCCTACCTGCACACAATATAACAATATACTTTGGCCWATATCACCCCCCCAGCACTTTCCTCTTCCCTCCCTGCTTCTCACCTCTTGGACCTTTTCCTCTACTGRTCTCCCTTTGTATGACATGAACTTTGAAAATATTATGCTAAATGAGGGGAAAAAAGGCCACATATGTATTGTATGGTCTGGTTCATAGGAAATATCCAGAATAGGCAAACTCACAGAAACAGAAAGCACATTGGCAGTTGCCAGGGGCTAAGGATGAAGGCAAAATGGGAAATGACTGCTTAATGGATAGAGATTTTCCTTTGCGGGTGATGAAAGTGTTTTGGAACTAGATAGTAGTGATGCTTGCTGAACACTGAATGTGCTTAATGCCACTGTTTTGCACACTTTAAAATGATCAAATGTGCTTGGTGTGGGTGGCTCATGCCTGTTATTCCAGCAGCTCAGGAGCCTCAGGCAAGAGGATCAGGAGTTCAAAGCTRGTCTCAGCAACTTAGCAAGTCCCTAAGCAACTTAGCTAGACCCTGTTTCAAAATAAACAATAAAAGTGCCTGGGGATGTGGCTCAGGGGTTAAGCACCCCCTGGCTTCAATCCGTGGTGCCAATAAATAAATAAAATGGTCAAATGAAGGCAGGGCATGGTGGTGCATAACTGTACTCATAGATACCTGGGAGGCTGAGGCAGGAGAATTATGAATTGAAGACCCAGCCTAGGCAACACAGTGAGACCCTGTCTCAAAGTAAAATAAGTAAACAAAAATAAAAATAATAAAATTGTCAAATGGTGAGTTTTATGTTATRTGAATTTGGCTACAAGAAAAAAAAATGAGTTAAGGAAAAGGTGTTTTCCTTAGTCACCGCCATCATTTAACTTTGAAGTTATGGCACAGTAAGGGCTGGACATGTTAGCACATGACTGTAATCTTAGCTGCTCAGAGGCTGAGGCAGGAGAACCACAACTTCAAGGCCAGCCTCAGCAGTTTAGTGAGGCTGGAAGCTCAGTGGTAGGGCCCTGCTGGGGTCAATCCCCAGTACTCTGCTCTCCCCACCAAAAAAASAAAGTATCACAGTGTGTATGTCATGAATAGAAATAGCGCAGTGTTTATTTTTAAATATTGCCTATGACGATCTTATTTACAACATAAGCCAATCTACTAGTTGCTCCAGATTACATTATGGGATATTGATATTTTGATTTTCAGATAAGTTGTTTCATAAGTGGAAAAAAAAAAACCAAACTTTTTAAGGGAGTGCAGAGTATATTAGAATTGAATCTGCTGGATGCTATTTCCAGCAGGTCCAGATGTAAATTCATTGGAAACATCTGTATTGTCGCTAGCTAGTTAATCCATATGCAAATGAAATATTTAGATGCCCCCTGGAGCTGTGTTAAAAGCACAGGAACAGTTGATGAGTTGCAGTGTTTGTTCTTGCTGGAAACTCAATGTTTAGTGGCAAACAGTCTTGCAAGATAAATAATGAAAAGTCTGACTAAAAACGAAACACATTTCCAAATGGCTTTTCTCCTCTTGTCACATAGGATGGAACAAGTCCTTTCTAATAATCCTGTTATTCTTGAAATCTACTATTTGTACTTTGCTCTTGGAACTGAAAGAAAGGCTTCTATGTTATAGTCACGAGTTATTTTCAATCTTTTAAAAATGGTATTACTTAGGTTATTTACCATATTTTGTGCCAAATAACTTTGGGCTGTTTATRAAAATCAGGATTATCCACAAAGGACAAAAATGTGTCACCCTCAGACATATTCAAAAGAATGTGCCAGAGGCTCCAGGAACAGTTCCAATGAGGAGTTTAAAAAAAAAAAAAAAAGATCTTTTTTTGAATGATGGGAAATATAATTTAAATAAATGTTTAGCTTGCCAAGGTGACTACTCACCACACAGAACAAGGCAACACCCATTTAGATGTGTTTATTTAAAAATCAGTCCCATTACTGGATGATTAAACCTTGGGTTAATTTTCTAATGAGGCTGGTGACACATCCAGCAGTCTTATTACACAACTCCCTTCTGTCTCACATCAATATAAAATAGRTGGATTCTGATGCATCTTACAGATAAAGCAGCCATGGGCTTTCCTATTCTTCCCTTGCTGCCAGGAAGGCAAGGGAATCCCCAAGCTGTCCCATAATACAAACCTCTTACATATGCATGATAGTTTAAATGCCTCCAAGCACTCTGACCTAGTTATCTCATTCACTGCTCACAATAGCCTGACTAGGAACACCCCAGCATTAACCTCACTCTCATGGGGCCCAGGGAGAAGCCCACAGGAAGAAATGCTTGAATGACTCTCTCCAAGCCTCGTTTACTGTGGCCAGTCGCAGAGCAGGGACTGGAAGCTCTCTCTCTCTTGACTTTTAATGCCCTGCAATCTCTGATATCGCCAAAATAGCCCCCGGGCTTGGAATGTCGAGGTGTGTGAAGTTCAAGCTTGAGACCAGAGGCTAACTGTACTTAGACTTGAGGCACCAGGAGTCCAGTAGTTTTGTTTGTTGGTTGGTTGGTCTGTTTTTCCAGCCCCTTCCAGGCTGCCTGCCACCTTGAAGCTCCCCAGCTGTTAGGCTGATTCTATTAAGATGTTCCRTACTTTGAGCTCAGGC